ACCTCCGGGGCAGGCGGGAATCGAACTCATGCGGAAGTGGCTTTAGCTTCTCAGTGCAGTGCTTTAACCCGCTGCACCACCAGGGAGGGCCACATCTTTCTTTTTTTAAGTCATTTTAAAAGAAAAGCCTATAATAATTATGTAAGATACTTCTGTTGTATAAATCCAGACACAGTTAATATTTTTCATGAAGACAAAGCATATGGAAAACAGCTAAACTTACTTTAAGTTGTAGTTTACACTAAACTAATTGAGTTTAGAACCAATTAAGAAAACATTAACTAGATATCTAGACTTTTTCTTAAGCAATTAAATTGTTTTATTGCCCATGTTTCATAATTGTTGCCAAAAGCAGTTTTTAAACCCTCTTACTATTTTTCCAGAGAAGGGTTACACAATTTGGACTTCCCCTCAGGTGTTTTGATAGGTAAGCTGCTGTGAAATTAGGTACTTTAAACAAACAGGTGTTCTTGGTGCATTTGATACTTAAAAATATTCCGATCTATTGGCAATATGTGAATTCCTGGAGGTTAGTTCCTGAAAATCAGTAATTATAGTTGCTCATGACTACTAATACAATAGTCAGTCTGACCAACTCTAATAAACTGCCATGAACATGACTTCCTATTCTGTTCACTTGGAATAAGAGCGAACTTTAAAAATCAAATGACTTCAAAGGAATATCAGCCAATATCACTGGAAACACAGAAATAAAAGGGTTAAGGTAACCATGAAAGGGGTCTCTGTTTAACTCTTGTAATGTTCCACTTTTGTTCAATCTCCATCCCACTTTTCCCTGGATGAAATAAGCTTCCCTTTTCTGGGAACATACAAGGTGAAGAACAGTTTTAAAAAATATTTTCAAGTAACATGAACTTTTGTGTTGTTTCATTCTGAAAATCTTATGCAAGACATGCAACCCCATACATAAGTAATTCCATATGTAACATGGCATTCCATATGCACTATTCAATTCCATGTGTAATGTGGAATTCAACGGGCAGAAGACTTCATCATTCTTCAGTGCTGTTATTCAACCTTATGACTCCAATTCTTTTCCCTTATTTAGCATAATCATCTTCATCATTATAATAGCTTAATCCCATATATAATGAAATTGTACTTCACACTTGTTATTGTTATTGCATGGACTTTATTCCCATAAAGTCTAAACATTTATACCCATAACCACTATTGTTTATAATAATACGGAGAGAAAAAGCTACTATGACTTGCAACATGTTGATTGATATCAAGATCTCAGAAAGCTTGCATCTACTTCCAATGTTAGCACACTTCATAAGATAAGTGAGGGCTGGCAGAATTCTCTCATGTCTCCTACTATGTAGCCTCTACTTTGTCTAAGCCCATCCTTACAAGCCCACTCCTGCTGACTTCTGGAATCCCTTTGAATTTATATAAGAGAAACATGATTTGAACACTAGCTTGCATAGTTCTGCAATGAAGTCTAAACTGCTTTATCCCTTAAGTTAGATTTAGAATCCAGCCAAAATAAGTATGTTCTGTGCCGTTCATATGTGCACTTCACATATGAACATTGCTGGGCAAGGGGGAGAGGAAGGGACCTCATAGAATTGCTAACCCTTTGCAGATCTAGTTCTTTCTCTACTAGATCTTTTTGCTTCCACTGCTTAACCTTTACCTTAGTTTTTGATAGGTTTGATTTGCTCTAACCGTCAAGCCCCTAGCCTAACATTACCCTCATGCTGGCTCACCTTCTATGATTCAGCTTCCCTGCAGTAATTTTTGACAAATGGCTTGCGTTGTTCTGTTCTGCCCTCCTGCAGTTGGTTTTTAGGTTGGGTCACAACTTTAGCCTGAGCTGATGTCATAACGACTCTTCCTAATATGCTATCCAGCTGGACATTTTACTCCTTGAGCAACTTTGACATATAATCTGTATGTAAGTACAGCTTAGGTGGAAACTGAAGGAAAAAATCACTTGTAGCAAGACCTCTTCTTACAGAAACACTACAATCCTTCCTACTATGTGCTTCATAATTGCCCCTGGATTTCTATTTTCTTCTACAGCCATTACATATTTCTAGTTTTCTAGTGTTTTCCTATGAAACAGAAAGGTAGAAATGTGTGAGATTCATATTCATAGGAGAATGTCAGTTTGTGAATCAATGGTTCACATGTCCTTGATGTTACTAATTTGAAAAAAGCTATAGATCTTTATGAACTAGAAACATATAGTTATTGTAGGGTTACACTAGGCAAGAATATCTGTCAACTTGCATGTATAATTGATATTAAAAGGGTTTTTTTTATAATAGTTAAGTTTACTATTAAGACAAACCTGGATTAGCCAAATGAAGTTTTACAATGCAAGTTTACAGCTAGCTAGCAGGACTCAAAATAGATATAGAGAGCTATGTAACAGTAGTAGTCACAATGAAACCCCCATAAACGTCACTTAGCTTTTAGAAAAGACACATATGGGATATATAAGCCTTATATGTGTATATATCAAATGAGATGCTATTTTGGGGGTCTGTAGCCCTTAAGAGGTTTTAGTTGCCAATAGTATATTTGATACAAACATATTTGCACCAAATTCTTAAACACAATAAACCAAATTTTCCTCTCGTAGGACAATATTAAGCATTTGCCCTACTATCCATGTCATAGATATATTGGGTTTTCAGAAAAGCCATTATTTATTTTTCTTTGATAAACATAGAAAACTACATTGTGAATTTTCCAACTCAATACATACACACGTGTGCGTGTATACACATATATAAAATCCATAGATATGGTCTTACGTTTTACAATATGCAAGAATCACTGAGAAGGTAAAGTCAATGTCCAACCTCCCCATGTGAAACAGTGAAATGGCTCAATCTAGGGAACAAAAATGACCTCAGGAGCCTACTGAGACAGGCAGACATGTAGGACATGATCTCAAAGCAAACACATGGTAAGAAAGAACAGGTTTTATTTTACAGGGAGTGATTACAGGGAGAGTTGCAGAAGAGGTGAAGGCGCAGGGGGCAGGGTGAGATTGGGAGGAGGAGAAGAGAGAGGGAGAAAGAGAAAGAGGGGGGCATTTATAGGCTGGCTCATGATGGCCTGATGGCTTGTGTCCTACCCCAGATAATGTCCTTCCCCTGAGCAGGGACTGAGGTCCAAGTTGAAGCAGCTCACTTCAAGCTGGAGGCTTCCCTATGGACACCCCTCCTCACTATCAGCCAAACAGTCAAAACCCCAGAAGCCTAACTGCCAAAAGCCCCAACACTCTAACTGCCAAAATCTCCAGCTCGGCCACTTTTCCCATCAGCCCCTGCTCAGAGATGGAGTGAGGAAAGTTCCACCTTCTACCCTCTGCTCTGAACCCATCCACTGGCTCAAGAATTGCTCCTCACTGTACCTGTCACAGCAGGACATTTTGAGATGGCTGATTTGACATGGTCACCATGTTGCTATGTAGATTTTGTGACCCTAGGAAGTCCTAAGAATACTGATCACCAACGAAAGTGCACTCTGAATACCCAAACTGTTGCTGCCTTGATCAGTTTACCTTACCTATCCCTCTGTTCTTGAGCCCCATGATGGCACCAGTGTTAGTCTCCAAGGAAACCAGAAAAAGCTTGACTTCCTGCCCCAGTCATCTCATCAATGGCTTCCGAGACAAGAGTGTGATTTTCTGCACTGAACAGATGGGGCGCTATCGGCTTACTGCAAGTATGCACATGTTTCTAGCATCACCCAAATAAGTGCTGAATGTGTCAATGTGTTCTTTTATGCCCTACTTTCTAGGCTACTCTGGACACAATGAGCCATGCACTGCAGCACAACTGTCCTGGGGCTACCCAGCCGTCCTCTTTCTCATTCTAGAATCCATGGCGGCTAAGCTAGGGCCAAAGTGGCTCTGGGTTTCAGGCTGTAGCCCTCTGGCACCGGAGTCCTCTCAGGGCGCATGAGCGTTGAGCTCTGCAGGGGGCACGCGCCGGGGCCCCTGGTGGCTGCGTCGCGCGAAGGCCTGAGCTCAGCGGCCACCCGCGGCTCGTGAGTGTCCCCAATTCGGCCCGCCGCGGAGGCCGAGGCCAGGTCCGCAGCCCCCCACCATGTCGAGTTACTTCAGGCGCAAGTATAAGACCGGGGACCTGGTGTTTGCCAAGTTAAAGGGCTATGCCCACTGGCCTGCCCGGGTAGAGCAGATGGCTGAACCCAATCGCTATCAAGTGTTTTTTTTCGGCACCCACGAGACGGCCTTCCTGGGCCCCAAACACCTCTTCCCATATGAGGAGTCCAAGGAGAAGTTCGGCAAGCCCAATAAGAGGAGGGGGTTCAGCGAGGGGCTGTGGGAGATCGAGAACAACCCCATGGTCCAGGCTTCTGACTACCAACTGGCCCAGGAGAAGATCTGCGTGGACGGGCCTGAGCCTGAGCTGGAGGCCACCGAGGGTGACCTGGCCATGAAGAGCAGCGCTGACAATGGCGGAGATGGCCTGGGGAAGCCAGTCGATGAACAGGCCCAGGAGGAGGACGACAAGAGGCCTCTGAAGAGGAGTGCCGGCGACCTGCTGGAGGAGAGCTCCCCCAAACGCCCCAAGGAAGCCGGCCCTGAAGGAGAGGTGGCTGAGACCGTGGCCCGGGCGGACAGGCCGCTCCTGGTGGAGGTGGAGAACGACAGTGCCGCCGCATCCGAGCCAGGCCCTGCCTGGGGGCCGACCCGGGAGGGGCAGGAGCAGGAGCAGGAGCTAGAGCAGAAACCCGAGGAAGGAGCTGCGGAGAAAGAGGCCAAGACGCCAGAAATCGGAGACCACGAGAGCCCGTAGTCACCAGTGTTTCAAGAAGAGCCCCCACCCCGTTCCTGCTGCAACCTGTCTGTTACTGGGGAAACACCATGGCCTGCAAACTGGGACCTGCCCCCACCCCACCCACTCTCCTCCTCCCTGGACTCTCCCTCTCCAAGCCTGGCTCTTAGGGCTCGGCCTGCTTGGGACAGGCCGCTTGCTCCTCACCTCCCTGCCCCCACAATTCTGTATTGAGTCAGGGCTTCTGCTTCCTAGGTAGAAATGAAGCCACCATGACCTTCGCTGCTTGGAACTGTTTCCCAAACGCTTCTGCTGAGACCTGGAACTTCTGTTTCCCTCTGCTGATACCCCTCTCCTCCTTCCCCAGGCATTCAGAACTCTGCCTTGGAACCAGTGTCAGGAGAAAGGGTGGTAGATAAAGAGAAGGGGGGCTTTTTCCATCTTGAGTTCCTGGGCCAGTCATGCCTCAAAATGTGGTAGTAATGATGGCAAGGGCAGTGACCTCTTCCAAAACACCTGTCCATACCTCCCCTGTACCTGTTATCCCAGCTGCTGAGATTCAGGAATGGAAGATCTTCCTTCCAAAAATACTTCTGCCCACCCAGGAAATTCTGGGCATTGGGATTTTTCACCGATTGTGGGTCAAAGGGGGTTTTCATGTTGTGAGACCTGAAGACTTCACTTATCCAGTTTCTTGAACGGGACTAGCAAGGAGCATAGGCCCTCATTTAGAACTACATTAAGACCTCTGAGGCCTCAAGGGATGTTCTGGGGAGATTCCTGACTGCTCCATTTCCTTTCCCACCAGCCCCAAGACCACCCTATAGTTAAATATGTCACCCAGGTACAGAAGAAAAAGGTACAGAACTTAGAAAATACTTTTAGTAAAAGGAGGTTTCTTTTGAAAATGAACACCTACACTTTGCTCATCTTTTTCCCATCCCTAGCTCATATTTTAGAGTGAACTAGGAGGTGTCTTTCTATTTGGGATTTAATGGCTTTCTTTCAGAGGCAGGGCTTTGAGGTTCTTCTGCAATGTCATCTTCTGTCTGCAACCCCTGGCCTGGACTAGGTCACTTCAGTATTGTCACCAAACCTGATATGTAACATAACGACAGAACGTGAAAAAACATGCCTCTTTTAAGTTCTTCCTAGTGGTCTACACCATTTCCCATTTTGTCTCTTTTACCCCTGCTGTTCTTCCGTGGGCTCTGATGAAAAAAATGTTGACTGTAGCTTTGGAAGTTTAGATCTGAGTTATTTCAGTTCTAGGAAATAAAACCTGTTGATTAAAGAAATTTTCTCAGGTCTTTTCCTTGGTTTTGGAAGAATTGGCCCTTAACTGCTCCTCATGTTTCTTACATGTTTAGTATTCAGAGTGATTATTTGGAATGTAGAGGGAGACTGTAGACATCTTTGTCATCTCAAGGTCTTTAACATGTACTTCACTTACAGTGATCACTGATACTGGTTACAATGCATACAAGTAATTTGATTTAAAATGTTTGAATGATAGCAAACTGCACTGACAACTGAGTTTCTAACACTTTTTCATGCTTTTCCAAATAGATTTAGAGAAGAATAAAGGAAAGGGGATTGATTCTCCTTTTTTCTTTGAAGTGTTTTTGCCTTCCTAGATCTTACCAGTTTTCTCTTTCCTCTTCTTTCTCCAACACCTTTACATAAAAGAGACAGTAGCTTTATATTTCCAGTTGTTTACATGTGTAGAATCTGCAGAATACTTTGTCTTCATACATATAGTATGTATGAATACATATGTATTCATACATATAGTAATTGATGGTTTTGTGCAGATAACTGGGCGTGTTTTCATATACTGGCTTTCAGTTTCTGAATTCATCAACACTACATACATTCAGAAGCATAGTGAATAGTGGAATCCTCTCCCTGGAACATGCCAGGCCATTACTATATCAGCAGGATTGACATGAAACACAATCTGACTTTCTGTCTTAGTATAAGATGATATTTTTTTACTCTTAGGCTCCTGAGGTGATGATTCCTTGCTTTTCCACTATTGTTATTGCAATATTAATGCCTGGAATTATTTTGAATGTCTACCATATGCGTAAAATAATGGCCTTATCCAATGTTTGTAGTGATCTGACAAGGTAAGTTTTATTACTCAAATTTCCCACTGGAAGTCACTCTGATTCAGAGAGGTTAAATGACTTTTCTTACACTTCAAGAACAATGAGGAATCCAATACAGATTTTACTTGTCTAAGACTAATATCTGTTCCTTGAATTGCACATTGAAAAACAGCTTTCACCATGAAATTAGTAGTTAACAAAGTTGTTTTTTCAGTTTTAATAATGAATAATTGTGAAGGTAGTGGTCATTTAATCTCTAAACGATGTCACCCAATATACTCTGCATACTTTATTTATACTGATGGTTGTATTAAATCAACCACCCAGTTAGACAGATACGTAGTATTCTATCTGGCTGACAGTTGAGGTTCACAGATATTAATGAACCAGCTCTCACTGACTGATATTTCTCATTCTAAATCATAGGCTCTTTGCTTTATTAGACTTTATTGCCTCCTAGTAAATAAAACTCTGTATAAAATAAGATGGAAGTACTTACTTTCCCCTATTTTGAAGTGAGCGGTTAGAAGTATGCAGGGCAAAGACATAATAATAAGCATTGTTAGTGGGTTCATGGGGAAAAGAAAAAAAAAAACATTTGGGGTACCTGACAATTGGTTTGTCATTAAATGAGTGTGTGACATGATGAGGACAATTTCACTTTCAATATTTTTCAAGAAGTATGTAACTATAGGAAGTTTGAATATGAATCTGTGTGTTTACCACAGGCAGGCACGTGATTTTGATAAGGTTTTTATGGAGGCGCATCTTCTGAAATGATTCAATAACCTGAAAGATAGGAAATGAAATTACTGCCATTTGAGACTTTCTCTTTGTATTATTTCTTTCGTTCTTCTCATGTTGGTGATAGAAAAAGTTGGTGTTTATTAGGAAGCACTGCACACAGTTGCCTTCTCGGTAACTATAAGATGGCATATAAAAAGAGATATTTTTTGGTAGCTGTAACACAGAACATAAAATGATACAATGATATTATGTGTATGTGCATATATAAAGTGTATATATACATATATATACACACACATAGTGTATATACACACATACATATACACATATATACACATGTGCATGCTATATACATAGTGTATATACACACATACATATACACATATATACATATATGTGTGCTATATACATAGTGTATATACACATACATATACACATATATACATATTTATGTACATACAGACAGACATACATACATATTCTTATTTAAAATGCTAATTGGACTAATGGTACATGTAACAAATGATGCCTCTCTGGTGGCACAGAGGATTTAAGCACAGCATTGTAAACTAGCCACTGATGCTTTGATGCCAGTTGGATCCCCAACCCTAGAGCTGACCCACATGGCACAGCAGACCTCTTCTGTCTTGCCCGCTACTCCCCTCAGCAGTGTACTTCATCAATCTGCTTGTTCTGCTCTCCACTCTGTTTCTGTGAGTCCTCTCACTATCCCTGCACCTCTGGCCTCCACCCCTGTTCTGTCTGTGTACATAAATAAATCTAAAAAAACATGACACTCACAGTGAACTGAAAGCCCAATAAGAAAAGGGGAACATGAAAATCTGTGCTCTCAGCCTTCTGTATAATTTGCCAGCCATGAACTATTTTATGTGCGTTAAAAACTATACTATATTTCAACCCGCAGGGATTGCAATCAAGATGGAAAAAAATGTGCAAAATGATGTAAAAATAAACTTTGTAATAAAAAAAAATTAAAAAAAAAAACCTGGGGGGGGGGAAACTATACTACATTTGACAAGAGTCTGTTTAAGGAAATTAAATTTTCTTCGGTTGCCAAAAATTTCCATTCATTCCAGTGGTGCTTTTTTATTCCATCTGGGTGGTTTAGTTGTCTCTGACAAAGGACCCAATCAAAATGGCCAATGATCAGTTCCCTTCCTGGACAAAGAGCTGTGCTGGCCTTAGGCGGATGCGGTGATGGTCTGGGTGCTCAAGTGTGTTCATGTGTGTTCTGAAGATCTTGTTTGAAAGCCTTGCATATAAATGCATGTTCATTTCATGCCACTGATTGGCACACACATTTAACATGCTGGTTTTTGTAAGGCTTGCGGGTCTTACAATGGCATCTGAGCCTTACAATGGCATCTGAGCCTTACAATAGTCTTACAACATTTCACACCAACACCTCTGATTACATCATTTAAGCAAGGGTCTAAGCTGCCACTTATTGTAAATTCTGTCTTTCTCTCAGCCAGAATTCAGTCCTCACCTGCTTGCAATTTCTCATCAAAGGTGCAGATTCTTCTTTGTGGCTCACAACCTCCATTTTCTGCTTCCTGGAAATACTGCAGATATTCAGGGCAAGAAGGGCATCTTCTATTCAGCTCATTGTCAACACTCTTGTCAAAGAACAGCTTCTGCTCCACATGCTACCCACACATGCTGCTCCTGGTATTTAGAAAGAACCGCCACCTCCTTCTGAAGGCGAGTACACAAGGTAAAAGTCACCCCTGTGTGTTCCTGTGAGCCCCGATGCTCACACTGATCAGATTCTAATTTCCTGTTTATTGCTTGCTTTTCCACTAGACTGGAGGAAAATAATATGTTTCATTAATATTTTATCCCCATTTCCAAATCATGCCACAGTAAGCATACAATAGATATTTTCTAAATGCTTGAAAGTCTGTTATCAAATACTCCTTATCACCATGGTGTGGGATTAAAAGTCATATGTGATATTGAGCACATTCTGACTCTGAAGACAAGAGAGGAGGGAAAACTAACCTGATAGATTTATTCACAGGTTAGGAGAATGAGTTTCTGTCCCTGTAAGTGGCTTCCTGTGTAAGCTTAACTAAGGCTCAAACTGTGGGAAATAGTGTTAGCTTGCCATCAAAAGGGAGATTTCTCTGGGTCTGC